CTACTCTTTAAGAGAGGCATTGCAGGAAATGTCTGTATTCATTTGATTTTCTTTTATGACAGAAAACATTTGGATTTAAATTGTTGTTTGGAAAAGCTACTTTCTTAAATTCGGTTTCAGTCCCGAAAGTGCATTTCTATAACTCTAAGTCTGAATTCATTTAAACTGTACCATATCATGGAAAATTGTTTAATTCCAAGTCAATAACAGCCAAAAACGTGGAAAAAATTTATAAAAAATGTAATGGCACCAATAAAAGCCCTCAAATTCATGTCAGAATGAGAAATTTAATTATTGTTGGTGATGTTACAAGAAAATATACATAAAAGGAATTGTATGATCCCATATTTTTTAATAAAATAAATTAAGTGTTAATGCAAGTGTTCAACTTTTCAAATTCATTCCAGATTAAGAAGACAATAGTTCTTTTTGATTGGCACTGTTTCAAGAAGATCGATGAAAGAAAACAGAAATACGTGTAGTAGAATCTTTCTTTCACACGTAAAATTGGAAATGACCAACTGAAGTATGGTCTCATACTCGTGGACAGTCAGTCCATCACCATAGCTACAAGAATTCAGAGTGATAAAAGTAAATTGAGTGCTTGGATGGTCGCAGCTAGACTACGCATCTAGCTTAAATGAGTGTGTGCCTTTGACAGTGTGGGTGCGAGTGTGTGTGTGCGAGTGTGTGTGCTTCTGTGTGTGTCTGTGTAGTAGACCATCGTTTTTTCCCGCTGTGGATGTATTACCACTAGCAGCGGGGAGCAAAGCAGGTGCTTTTGGGAACCCGCCGCTCGCTATGGCCATCTCTGCGTGCATCCCAGCAGTACAGAGCGGAGCTCCTCATCCGCCGCTTCTCAATTGATATCGCAGACAATGTACTTGATGAATGCACGATGTGTACATGACATAATTATGCACATGTGTTGGTAATAGATTTGACATACCCTCTTTGTCTTCGAGGCTATCGCTGACAACTTCTTGGGGGAATTAAGGTCAAACTAGCTTAATTGGTGTCTAAATGAATGCCTCAGGTTGTTGCTCGGTGTTGTCATTTTAGTTTTTAGGACCATGGTTGGCAGTTATTTTGGACTCCAATTACATCATCCCCTATTGATTCCCTCAATTCTATTTTTATCAGTTAGAATTGCAATTATACCCGCATTATTTACCCCGGATTAAATCAAAGAATTGACTCAGGGTTGCTTTTACACCATAGGAAATATAAAAAACTAGCAATATTGGCACCTATTCAAGAGAGAGATAAGTACAGCACTTATCATTTGAGGCTTGTTCTCACCTGTCACTCAAAAAGTCAAATGCCTACTTGTATGGAAGAGTCATGGCTTGCGGATGAGATAGGGACATGCGCGTGACATTTGGAGAAACCATTTGGAAGACGGTTTCTTGTAGCTCGTTTATTAGTATCTGGCAAGATCTTTTGAGATTCGTTCCTCCGTCACTATCAGAAATAGATTTTAATCCTGTAATGTCTTTTCTCCATCGCATGTACAAGATACTCTGTGAAGAGCAAGAAGGGCATTCAATCTTTGAGTTAATATAATTTGAACTACCAGCAGATGAGCAGTAGTCTGTGACCAGTAATTAGCGTCTGCATTAAACTTTACTGTCTGCTCCCGTCATTTATTTATTTATTTTATTTCTCATTTATTTATTTCCCCATCAATACAAGCATATATAATGAGATATCTGAAGTGGGATGACCATGAAAAGCACATAAATGATTTGTTAAAAATGATCCTCACCGAATATACAAAATAACAACTTAAAAATAAATAATTTACAAAAATATCAAGATTAAAAAAAGGGAAGATATAGAAAAGTAGAGAAAAGAAGAAAGAAATACTGCATAAACATTGACATTATAAGTACATTGGTTGTAGTAGAATTATTTAAACAAAATTGCATATTTGGTTGTTTAAATTGGTTAATTGTCTTAATATTCTCATTAGTTCTTAGTATTCTTAATAGACATTCCTTATTTCGTGCAAATTCATTATAGTTATTGCATGCCAAGATATTATTGAACATGTTGTCTAATTATACAAGGTATATTACTTTCTTGAAGAAAGCATGTAGTTGCTTAATTTCATGGTTCACATAGTATACATGTATGTTTTGTCAGTGAAGAGGTAGAAGGGTATTAACTCTAATGCAAATGTAGTAATGCCATTCTGCCTTCAGATAATGATTACTTGACAATGTGTTGATACATAACTGTATGATGGATCGTTACATATTCCAAGGAGTTACAGCCATGTCTTGACCAGAAACAGAATGCATGTCGCACATGTGATAATGACCCCCATCTTGTAGGTCAAACTTTGACAAGATAAGCCACATGGTGCATGACGTGTAGTTATCCTTGATTAACCTCTAGGTTAATGCCATTCTGATGGACTGTCTTGTTATAAGTGGCCCTGTAATTCTGTGAGCCAAACCAGGGTTGGATTCAGGATTTGTAAAAGGGAAAGCAAGGGAGGTGGGGGGGGGGGGGGGGGCACAATGCGGAAGATACTTTGGACATGTCATGTAGGCAAGGAAATGAGTATCGCATGTTATAGGTTATAATTTGATAAAATATCTGAAGCAAACAAAAGAAAGTTAAGAATATCAAATTTTATATGTGGAAATTTACATACAAAATCTGTGAGACAATAAAAAATAATAGAAAGAGTAAAGTAGATAAGGTTTTTTTTTCAGGTGCCTTTTGGGTTGAAAATATCAAAAGAGGGCAAATTTTTCATTTGTACTAAAGGTGTCCGACATTTGTTTTAAAGGGGGGGGGGCACAGGTTTGATTGTGCCCCCATTAACCGACAGTCGGCCAAGGCAGATGTGAGGTACTGTACATCTGTCATCGACTGCATAACTTGTAAGGACATGTGATTTGTTTGGTCAGTCTGTACAAGCTTAAAGTTCCGCTCAATTATAATCACATGTAATCTGTCACTAGCAAGGTCAAGGTACTATCTCAGCTAGAACTAACAACCTTGACCAGGTCAAACAAAGTGGGTCGGGTCATCTGGGAAGGATAAACCGAGCACTTTGCTTAAACTAGAACAAATGTATGAATTTGAAACAAGAGCATGCATGAAAGATATGTGCATGTATTTATATGTAGATAAAAAGCAAGAAATTTGACACATGGTGCACATGCAATATGGGTGCTGCAAAGTGTTTAAATCACATTGTACATTTATGTATGTATCATGTACAAATCTTTCTGTTCTATTTCATGTGCTGCATTATACTCATCCACCCTACACACTCACATACACTCACACTCATACACACCCACATGCACTTGCCCACCCACACAAACAAACATTAGTGATACCTACCATTAATCATAAAACAATGGTTTAACCATCTGAGCATAAGACGCGAGGACTATCATTTCCTTCACAGGCACCAAACCTACATGTTCAAGATATAATGTTTTTCAGACACACACACACACACACACACACCCACATGCACTTACCCACCCACACAAACAAACATTAGTGATACATACCATGAATCATATAACATTGGTTTGACCGTCTCTGAAAATGTGATGACTATCATTTCTTGCACAGACACCAAACATACATGTTCAAAATATTATATTTTTTTTACACGCACAAACACTTGCACACATGCTCACACTCACTGGCATGCACTTACCCACCCACACACAAACATTAGTGGTACATATTAAACATGAATCATACAAAAATGGTTTGACTGCCACAGCAGAAGACATGAGGACTATCATTTCCCTCACAAACACCAAACATACATGTACAGGTACAAAATATCATGTTTTCACACCCGCACACACACACCCACACCCACACCCACACCCAGACACAAACACTAACAAAAACTCTTTGTTGCAGCCTTGACCTAAAGGTGATATGCATTCTACCAAGAGTTATTGCTGTTGGTTAAAAGATTCATCCTGGTACACAGGTGTATCCACATCTTCCTAAGATATGGCTCAAACCCAAGTTTTACCCATTCCTCGCGGATGAGTACATTTAACATCCTATTTCTTAAAGGTAATACAAAGTTTTGAAAATTGCGTGGATAGTGATTCTTTACAATTTTGATATATTTGGATGCCCCTGTGGATGTATTATAAACACTAGAAAATTTAGCCCCTAAACTACTTCTGCTTTCGAGAAAAATTGAATATAAAAATTTACCGGTGCTCCCGGTAAATTTTGATAAATTTCAAATAACGCCTACGGCCGTACAATGGTAGCTGCGACCATGAAAATCTCAGAATATGTAGTTGTGATATATAATTTCCGACCGAGAACAACTAATCGGTAGATTTTGGTCAAAAATCGTTGTTTTATAGCTTAATTTATATCTTGACCTTGAGAGGGAGCTATACAACATAAAGAGTTTATTATTTACAATTTCATAACTTTAGACTCAATTTCATCCGCGACAGCGATCACTGAATATTGTAGGACCGCATATGCGTCCAATATGTTCATTTGAACCAAATTCATGACCCCATACCAAAACTTTGTATTACCTTTAACATGTTCGGAAGTTACTGCCAGAATACAAGTATAGTTATATCAGAGTCAATTTTACTTCCAAAAGATCTTCTTATATCATCTTTTGATTTTATAGTTTTAAATGTTTGAGTTCTACAGAAGCTGTATTTTGTTTATGTAACATAATGAGGATTTACCACTGATATTTGGGCTGTTTTCTCATTACAATCAGTGACACTGACTTGTCTAGTATCTGTCATGTTGGTTCAAGCAATTATCATTCTCTTTCAAATAATAATTCATTTACATTGTGTTTGTTTTTACATTCTTATTCAAGACCCTGTGATTTTCGATTCTGTACATATTCTGAAGAGATCATGAAGAATGTTTTGAGATTTGTTCATATGGAGCTTAACTAGTGCGGTTTACCCTTTCTCTCAATCTAATATCTCTTTCTCATTCCTACTCTCCTCCAGCATTCATGGGCCTGACATCACTACTCCTAGTCCTCGCCAGCTACCAGTACGAAATCAACGAGAGACCTAGCGTCCTGCCGCAGTTCCCTGAAGGCTACGTCCTGGACTATTCCTGGTCCTTCTACCTGAGCTGGGCTTCGTTAGGACTCTGTATCGCCAGCGGCATCATGTTCCTCATGGTTGCTAGGCAATGGCATCTGGAGGAAGTCTGGCACAAGAAGTCGCTGGAGGAGGAGAAGAAACGGATGCCGCAGCAACGCTATTCCCGATCCAAGCTGATACCATCCTTCTAATGAAGACCCACAACCGTTACATTCGTTATATAACCATGCCTGGTATAGCAGGGTTTTAGTATTGGCCTAAAGTGATGATGAAATAGATCCAGAAACTACATATTCTGGTTAGTCCCTATATCTTTCATATTTACGATCCCAAAGACTTGCTTTATTATAATGTACTTATACTTTGTACATGTATGTACTTACTACCTAATGTACTTCACAATGGTAATCAGGAGATACATGGTAAGTTCATAGTAAATCAATATGAAGAAATTTCACAGTAAAGTGAAAAAAAGATTTCCCTCAGTTTAACATCAGTTATTGATACTAAGTAGCAATGCAGAGATGTAGGAAGATTATGTATACTTTTTGAAGTATCTTGTTGGTAAAATGATGTACTCATTTTGAAATGAATAGGGTAATATTTGGTAGATAAATGCTTTCATGGCTTTTAGTCTATGTCTTTACTTGAGGTACTTAACGGATTTGTCTCTTTTCCTATATAGCCACATGTATGTATTCCTAGACTCTCTTACTTTATAGGGGTGGATGGAGGAAACATTTATTATTTTTCATTTGGATACTCCATTTCTTCATCATTAACATTAGGTAAAGCTCCTACGTTGTTTCATCAACTATTTGGAGATTATAGCCATCGAGAACAAAATAATTAAGGAACAAATATCAGTGACCAAGTTTGATAAATTTTCCCTAACTTCTTTTGAAATTGCAAGATGATTCTTCAACGATTTGCCAAAAAAGTCACGCCAGTGATATTGAATTCATTTTTTAATTGCCATGTTTTGTACTTAACTATCTCTCATTCTCTCCCAATCCCATAAATTCTATTCTAGCCATCTTTGGTAGTCACAGTGGAAATTTATCTTACACTTGTATACTTCAGGTTTATGCATTCATATATCTAAATCAAAATGTTTTTTCAAAAGTGTCAAAGGGTCTCATATGTGCCCAAGCTTTCTCTGGGAGATACTTTGGAAGGATTCAAAGATTCTTAACGTATGTTCCTCCAGATTTTTTTAAAGGAGCAAACCAACCCGTATTTCATGAATAGACTATGTGAAGAGGACTTTAAATTTCTACTGATTACAAATAGTCTCTAGGTTGTTCAATCACGGCATCATTACTTCTTTGAGGAAATATATGAAATAAGAGAAAGTAGATATTATATATAAACGTAGCTCTATCCCACCTCAGGCACAGCATGTAAGAGCATCCAAAGCTGCAACTGCTGTAATTCGACCAAGTATTCAATTGTCAATCAAATGTTGGTATTAGATTCCACATAACCAATGTCTTTCTCAAAAAGCTGAATTTTTTGACAAGGTTGTAAGAAATATTGTCATATATATATTGAAGTTGTGTGATTGCTATCTCGTGTTGTATACTTGTTTAAAGTAGTTAGCTGTACTTTATAAGCAATATCAAAGCAGGCTGAAAGTAGTGAAAGCAATAGATATGTGTTTTTCTATGGATTTGTTTTCACTGATGTGTATTTCACACAGGTCATTATACTGACTCACACATGGAAGTGAGCTTGGTATACCATGAAAATTTGCAGCTGTATCTCAAAATGGTCACCAAAATTATTTGAATTCTCAGAAGATTTTTTCAAAAATTAATCAATGCTGCGTGTTCTACGACTTGACAAAATAACACTTGTATAATACCTCAGAGCTACAGCTGAACTGACGCCAAACCAACTCCAATATAACCGATTCTTGGCCAGTTAGGATAATGCAATGGTTTATGTTTGTCTGGTGTCGGTATGGTGCCGCTTTACATCATTGTATGCCAGGCAGAGGGGTACGAACCCCAATATTTGCTGTATTTTATGAACTGTTCAGTTTTGATTGCTGAAGTAACGATATCCTTGTTATCGATGTGGATGATATACCAGTGTGTTACATAGAAGTACTCTCTCTCTATACTTGCTATGGATCAAAACTTTAGATTGCCACATTGTTTTGACTGCGTGTAGCCATGTACCATGTATATGGTACATAGACACTATACAGGTGACAATAGTCAACTGTGTCTGTGGTGGACCTATGTTTGTTCCTTTAAGCAACCAAGACCCGTAACAAGTTTAAGAATGGTCAAATCTTTGGAATGTGTTTTTCTGGGCATGGACATCTTATGTCCCCATACTGATACATACGTAAACTTCTACAAGACATACAGTACATGTAAAATATATTTGAATTATTTTACTGACAATGTACAACAGTTATTGAAGACCTTTGCATACGAGACATGTTTATCTTTCTATAGATCTTCATACTTTGGTGTATGGGTAAACAAAATAAGGATACATTTAGCTTGGACTTTAGGGAAATGTAAGGTTATGGTTACATCAACTTTGTTTAAACATTTAATAATTTGAATAACTTTTCACTGATGAATCACACTTATTTGAAATTGATTGTTATTTTTAAATGTAAAAAAGCTGTTTTGATTCCTTCCTTTGTAAAACAACATTGCATATGGGATAATCATGAATGATAAATTGTAGCCATTCCACTGTAGGAAACTATGACAATATATACTTATATTTATTTTGGAAATATATATGATATATAATAATGTTTGAATGATGTGATATGTGTACTGTTCATGTATAATTTCAAGGTGTTTTATAGAAGGGGGTGCATACATGAATAATAATTTAGTTTTACTTAACCACGCTTGCAGAGTATATCTATCTATGTATATATTGCTTTATATCAACTACTAATCTGCACGGTGTATTCTGCTAAAGTACGTACAGTCAGAAATGTTGGCAACATGAAATTCCAAAAAAAATCAAAAGGGAAATTTCATGCTGCATGGAATTAAATTTTAAGGAATGAAATGTTCATGAATCTCTCTATTTGCATAAGTTTCATGCAGTTTCTGTTGTTTTTGTAAACAATTTTGCTTTCAAGTAAGGAATAAGCTTTGTTAAACCTGGAGCAAATCCAGATCGACTGTATCATGAGACAATACAGTGATTAATTGATTGATGGTGTCTAGACCAAGTAACCAGCAATAGAACACAACTGGAACATGAAAATAAGTAGTCAGAATATACAACATGTTATGGATTTATGTATTCATAGCTTTGATGCTTCAAACTTATAAACTTATAATGATATTTATAATACAACATTGCTGTATGAATATATAAATTCCTATTTTGTCATGAATAGTGTGTACAGCAAAAATTCTCTCTAAACATTACATTTCTGAAAATAATAGAGTGCAAGTTTGAATATTGTGAATTTCACTTTAACAAAAAAGTATGGTAAACTGCAATAACACATGACAGACGAGACTTATTTTTCACCTACTCTGACAGCACTAAGTACAGTTAAGTAATTGTACAATTGTACCTCACTCTGATTATTAAGTCTAAAGAGCTTTATTTTTAAATCAATTTTTGAAGAAGATTTATAAAAAGAAAATGTACGCTCACCCAGGGAAATTCCAATGTGTACCTCTGAATAGAAAAATTAAATTGAATTCACTGTCATGCTGTCTCTTTTGATGGTAATTCAAACTACTTTTAAATTTTCTCGAATAATACACCACTTTAATTGTTACAGAAAGGAATTTTGAGGATTCAAATTACTCAATGATATTTTGAGACTCTAATCTTGCATCGTGGTACTCCTAGGTTATATGCTGAATATTTCAAACTATGGATATATAAATATAAGCCTGTATTCAGATGTCATATTTCTGTAGTATAGAATGAAGTGAGAGATATATATTTAGCCATATGGTATAGAGAATATTTCTGCTAAGTACTAAAAAGGCATTACCACCCTTGTACTTAGCATCTGATATGTATTAACATTTTGGGTTTTTGTGCAAGAAAGAATTAAGACTATATGGTAGAACTTAAGATGAATTGATGATAGATTGTAGTCATACTTTTAGATGTTCCTAATCAGCTAATGCAAATTTTATGCAAAAAAAAGAGATATATACCAATATACCAAGTTGCCTTACATGTTAAATGTGTGTCATTGGCATGCAGCTGTAGTTTGTATGAATAGAGTATTACAAGCACGTAGAGCAAATTTTAATAGATAATCTAGTTTCCTTAAAGAGAGGGGTGTAAATATTGATTAATACATTCATACAAAGTTTTACATAACACTTGTATACTTTAAAATGTATATATACTTGTGCTTGGTATTGAATACATTATTATATAATGCTGTGAATATAATTATTCTCTTGTATTTTGACAAAAATTATTACCAAACATTGCTGTATTTTAAATTATAAATGCATTTATCGAGTTGGGTGATGGATATATTATGCTAGGTTACTTATGATGTCAATTGTACACACCCGTCCAGTTACATGTCGAAGCTCAGTGATGTGAGTTATTCTCCTCTTTCCTTTTTATTCCCCCTCTTATACCCCCCTCCCCCATTAATTTGTGTCTTTTCCATCCTTTTTTGCTCTTGCAAGCCTACATTATGTTTTTTTTCTTCTTTTTTCATGACTTGTTTTTAGCATTTTCCTTTCTTTTTTCATTGCTAATCTTTGGAACATACCGGTAGTCATATCGGGCTTAATATACATATATTGATAACTATATCATCTTCCTAGAGCAATAAGGGCTTTAGCTTAAGTACTTTATCACAAAGTTTATGCCCTCCTAGCTGTTCAACATTTCAATAGATTCACCTACTGTTTTGAAAGTTCTCAAGGACATGAATATACAACAATCAAAAAGTATTAACAGTCTTACATCTTTTTGTTAACTTCTGTTTACAATATCACATAAACTGTAAAAATGCATTCTCATTGGCTTAAAATGGACCGGTGAAAACATATTACGTGCAAGAGCTTAGAATCTACGGTGTCATGTTGTACAAGTATACAGAGTGAGTCAAAAAAAAGTTTACACCTAGAAAATTGCTAATTATTTAAAAAATCATCGATGAACATTAAACTGTTATACGTCTTATGAAAGAGTGTTTTATCCCAAATCATTTGGTACCATTTTTGTGTGGTATGTGTTCACGCTTGGATGAACAGGAGACATTGTTTGCGAGAGTGCAAAAACCGAATTGCGCCAAAGTTGCCTATGTGATGTTTGAATAAAACAATTGGGATTTGGGTATCAATTCGGTCTTTGCATATCCAAATAACACACCTAACAAAATTAATCATGTCACACATATCAAATATCGAATATCAAATATCAACGAATATTTGTGCGCGTGTGTGTGGGTGTGTGTGACTTTGCCCTTTGCAAAAAAACATATGCAATGCATTTCATTTGATACATTCAATCCATTCTCTCACTCCGCTAATACCAACATAATACATACTGAAGGCATCACTTTGGCGCAAGTCGATTTTTGTACTCTCGCAAACAATACCACCTGTTCATCCAAGCGTGAACACATACCACACAAAAATGGTACTAAATGAGTTGGGATAAAACACTCTTTCATAAGATGTATAATAATTTACTGTTCATAGATGATTTTTAAAATAATTAGCCATTTTCTAGGTGTAAACTTTTTTTTGACTCACACGGTATATAGGGTCATTCACAATACATTTTTGTGTGTGTTTACACACTGCATTTCTAAGAGAAAACCCACTTCTTAGCAACTTCATTTGCCTCAAGCCTGATAACTACCTTTCCAGGCGACACATTATATCGAACGAGCAGAAGTCTTGCATTAATGCAGCATGTACACTAGCTAACGGTACATATGCAGCATCAGCAGCCGAGGCCCGGGCGCACGCACATGCCTGTCTGTACACCTGCCAGATGCGAAACTCGATACAGTCTATAAATGGATTAACGTCAAATTTGTCATTTAATACAATCGGCAGAGACAGGCTTAGTTGATAGAGCTGTCAATGGCATAAACAGATGCAGGTCTCATTTATCATATGCCCTAGCTGTAAACCTAGCCAAACAAATGCTGCCACCAAGATTAATGTTCTGCATATTCATCTTGGGAGTAAAATATTTAACGGCTGTTTTTTCCGTCGTAGACTCATCTAGGTTTAATTAATAGGAGGAGCATAACAACAGGAAGAAAAATAGAATATTGACAATATTAATATGTTTGCCCTTCGAGGACACCATTTTGAATGGCTGTACTAGTTTTTGCGCCATTTATCTTTCCTCAAATTCAAATTACAAGAAGACATACCTGTACATACAGAATATGGAACTAGTTCCTTACAAATTAGTAAGAGAAATTGAAAAGTGCGGAAGCAAACATTCATGTAATTCATGAAAATCAAACCCTCATGAAACTAACAGCTTATATGTACAGTGCATGTTTTATTTTTTGTTTCTCTATGCCTCCGTCTATCTCATTACCCTATGTCCCTCCCTCACCCTCCCCCTCTCTCTCTCTCTCTCTCTCTCTCTCTCTTTTTCTCTTTCTCTCTCTTTTTTTTTCTCTCTCTCTTTTTTTTTCTCTCTCTCTTTTTTTTTCTCTCTCTCTCTCTCTCTCTCCCTCTCTCTCTCTCTCTAATGAAAGAAATTGAAGTAAAAAAAAAAGAAACCAAAAAATGCATGAGAATAAGTAAATAATTGAAGAGCTTCTTTCTGAAATGCTATATCAAGTGATTATTTACCCATGTTTGGCTGCGTTCATGCTTAAATTTTGAAGGCAGAATGAGCGATCTGAAACGCTCATCGTAAACGCTCATCGTGATCGCAGTTCCACGATGTAGTGTTCATGCTTACTTCTCTGGCTCCCCCAGGCAATTCTCAGTGTGTGGCCTTAATTGGTCTTCCAGCTGGATTCGCAAACCTTCACTGTGCATGCTACGTAGACCCACTAGAGGTCAGTGCGTTGACCCCATTTAAACGCGTTTACAAATTGTAAACGCATCTTTTTGTGAGTTTACGATCGGCGATCGTGATCGCCGTTTTTCGGTGATTCTACAAAAGTGAGCTAAGACGCAACCGTGTTTTAAACTAAACGCGTAACAGATGCCTGATTCTGGCCGTCAAAATCAAGCATGAACGCGCCCTTTGTTCACAGGCTCATGGTTGTGTTGGAGAGGGGATTATTTAGTTGGCCTAGGTGCTAGCCTCCCCCAAGTCATTCATATATATTAGCTTCATTAGACATGAAGCTATGCCGAGAATATCAGCGAGCATTGTAGCTAATGACATGACCACTAATCTAACATGGGGGAGAGGGGAACCAACCGTGAGATGTATGCATGTATATTTGTGCCGGGCTAATAATATCAGTTGGCAGGGTGGAATGTCTCCTTAAGAATGTCTTGTTCCTTTGGACGAAGAGGGTAGTGGTCTGGGTGCTGACTTGACGAGCAGTTAGACTTGTGTGAAATAAAACAATGGGTGAGAACAGAGGACATGCTAGTTTTTCTAGTTTGTGGATGCAGACCCTGTGTTTTCTGCATCTACAGGGTGAGCCAAGAAAATGTGTCACCAAAGTCAACATTATACACAAATTTTCAAAATTAGCTTGTCCCAAGGAGCAAGCAAAAAACACCAAATGTCAGTAGTTCAGTATAACTTAAGTGAGAACTAACTTGATCAGATTTTTTTTTTTTTTTTTTGGGGGGGGGGGGGCTTGTTATTCCTTATTTCCTGGAATAAAGGGATAAAAGGGATCATTTAATTCTCACATCAGATACAGCAGAGCTGGGATTGCATCTAATAGTCTTATTTTCTTTATTATGATGAGGCTAAGTCAAATAATAGAGGCTATTTATAAAGTGTAATTAAAATATGTCTTTGAAGTGACATAATTGGTACATTGGGGGATCCTTTCATATAATGGGTTTACAGTGTAGTTATAATTGACAAAGATTGTCAAGTCAGAATTGAAATACTGCTTTGTAGACTAAATGCTTAATTTTCATGTATTTTCTAATGACTGTACAAATCTTCATTTATTCATGCTTACACCTGTATATGTTAACAAGAGGGGCTGACAATATGTATAACTTCAAAGAATTGATACTGTGAGAAGTGTGTGTGTGATTCTTGAAATCCAATGTACTTAACACTTACTACTTTGTGCTTTATTATTTTCATTATTATCATGTTAAAGAAAAAATAGTCTTAGAAGTTTACCTTTTGATTACCTAACATTTACAGAAATTTCAAACAATATACTTTGATTTATGATGACTGCTTTTTAACTTGTATTCTTATGTAATATATCATTTGTGTGCAGATTTTTTTTTTGTTGGTGTAACAGGGTGAGATTATTAAAATACAGACAATTCCATTAAAGTTTTATCATTTATTTAGCATTAAAAAGTATGCCCAATGTTAAGTTCCGATTTAAAATCTCTTCATCTACTGTTGTGGGGGGGGGGGGGGCATAATGATAGACAGTAGCTTGGAGAACAGCATTTCATCTGTTTGCAATCAGTTTCACATATGTTTGTATGGGACGGTTCCAAGGTCTTTGTCTATACACACTATGGCCCGAATTCAAAAAGGAGCGTTTAGGATTTAGTTAATATGATGACACATTCCATACTTTCTTTTAATTTCCAATGTAGGTTTTTGAAATCACAGATGAAATGATGAGATGAGTCTAAATGAAGACACATTTTAAGGTCCTAAAATGGTAGTGGTTGTATAACTATGAGACAGATGTTAATGGGCCTTCTGAAAAAGATTTCTTACGGTTCACAAGATCAACATGCCAGTAACACAAGCATTTTGACAACTTTTCTTAAGGTTCACAAGATCGACATTATCATTGTAGTCTACTGTCGGTCTCTCAGGCCAGTGGTTTTCTAGGCAGTCCCTGGAATTTCTCGGCATGAAGTATACCATCCATATACATTTGGAGCTTCAGCTCTCCTTCAATTAGATCTGATTTCTAATGTATTTCAATGTATGCATGTTATGCAAGCCTCTGGCATGATTTTCAGACTTGAAATGGCAACTTTTGTTCAAAATGTATTAAGTAAACTGGTTTATTGCTCAGTAGTCCCAAAGGCCATTATAATTCTTGAATAAACATGTTAACTAATTTCATGTACACTTTTAAAATAAAAATTATGACGATAAAGAGCTTGCAAGGGGCTTGCCCGACATAGCAACAGTTTTGTATGCAAAGTGAATTCCATCAACAGAGATGCCATTGTGCAGTTGAATTAAAAAGTTGGTTACCAAGGTTTACAGAGAGAAACATACATACATTGAAATACACTAGTAAACAAATCAATTGATTGATATCAAAAGAGGGGGATGTTGACTGAGAAGAGAGTTTTAGTTCTCTTTTATGTCTCATTTCAAATGTTGAAGATCTAGAGTACATTACTGTATTATTATGACCAGGGCCTAGATATTAGAAAACAATTAACTCTTAACATTTTCGGTTTGTTTTTCTTCAATAATCTAGTGACATTGCTTGCAGTTTAAGGGGATATAATACCAAAGTCCCATATGATATATGCTTAGGTTCCTTAGATCTTTCTAAATGAATTATATACATGTATTATTGACTTATTCTAACGAAAGCTACTGAGTAGCTACTGGTGTATATTTCTTCATATGTGAACGGCTTGTATAACATTTTTAAGAACGAGCATAATCTGCATTTTATCATGTATATTGGGTAGATTGAGAGATGTGTGTTTGTTTAAAGAAAAAGAAGTTGTAACCTCTTCCAGAAATCATGCAAATTATCAAGTAATAAAAAACAATGTAGACAGAATAATTGTGTCAGAGAATGTTTCTTATTGTGTTTTCTTTTTTTAATGAAACTTGAGAGAGAAGGGAGCAAGAGAGGGATAGATGTAGATAAAGCTGGGTGAAAGGAGAAGGAAAGGAGGGAGGGGGCAGGACAAGAAAGAATATTGATAGAGCTGTATGGACAGACCCCATCAAAAACCACTTTACCTTACTGAAGATTTATTAAAGAATGACCATTAATTGAAAATGTTATAAAGACAAACAATCAATCTAAGCCAATTTTCAGTAGGTTGGCATCATCTATTACTATTTGCAAAATATTATTTGCAAACATTATTACATAATCCAAAATTATTTCTTTAGACACTACAGTTGTGTTTGTACTTTTCTCTTGAGCTATATTTGTGAAAGTCTTCGAAAAGCATTTCAATAAGATTAGAAGTCTGCTTTCTTAAACACTTCCATAGAAGAAACAAAATTCAGTGAATATTATAATTTTGTTTAACAAAGGGATTAAATAGCACAAAATACATGTATATAATTAACATACAACTTATTTTTATCATACACTTAATTAGCATAACATTTTATATCTACACATTCCCTGAATTAACAAGGCATATACCTCTCTTCATACCCTGCCAAAACTCTGATTATGAGATATAAACAACTATATTTGTACAATGTCTCATAATTATATATTATTCCACCATAGTTTACTGCTTAGACATTTCATGTTCTTTAAAAAGAGACAATGTTCCCCCAACTTTCACAAAGACGACTGTCTTGACTAACATCATAAGTTAATAATATGACCCCCCAAAATAATCATAAGAACCCATTATTACGTTTACATTTACAAGTTTATATTTATGCAGTGGTCAATATTATCATTCTGCAAATAAATGTGTACATAGAATTTTTCTTAAAACAAATTTTTTGGGTGGACAATTATTGAACTTACCACTGTGATTGACATAAAATGTACAGAATAGATTGATACAACTGATGAAATTCATCTAAAGCAGAGACACTAGTTAGGCGCTCGTCTGAACGAGAAGGTGTGTGTGGGGCGGGGGGTCATTGATAAGCCCTTAAAATATTTCATTTCAGTATTATTTTGTTATTTTTCTTTATTTCTGAATTTGTTTTTGCTTGTTAGCAAATAACATTCGCAATAGTATTCACAGCAACAAAAAATTGGCCCCTCATCATGTAATTTACCAGAATTGTGCCCCCCCCCCCCCCTTGTCATTCAAAATATTGGATCCGCCCCTGATTGTTGGCTATTTTGTATCCAAATAGGTGTTCTTGGCCTAGAGAGTGGTAGCGAACCCTGGTCGCAAGATGGCGCTCGTTTCAGACCCTTAAAATCAGTTTGGAGTTTCGTACTTGTTGAAACTGAAATACACACCTTAAAAGCCTGGTATCATCCGCTATGTATTTGGTAATCAGTACTATTACTAGAAACTGATTAAATTTTTCCAGGTATAGGTATGCATTGAACCTATTTAAAATGGTTTGAAATGACGAGTTTATTTGTTAAGAATAAACGAACAAATAGCTTTATTCGTTATTAATACTTGATTTGATGGAGACTAAACAAAATAGATATTTGGTGCCATAAGTTAATAGCATTAGTAATCAAAATTTCGAAGGATTTATTGAAATCATATCTCAATCAAATTTTTCATAGAAAAGGAAAAAAATCTCAAACCAGAAAAATAAGCTTAACTATGGGTAATCACTTTCCCCCCCCCCCCCCCCATCCCCGGCCCCACACACACACTCACACGCAAGCACACACTTAAAACAAAACTGCTTTGTACGTCTGCAGGCAGTTACAGTTACATTTTGTTTAATACACACAAAATGTACCCCCCAAAAATGACCTACCACGATCTGTCCGCCTGTCTCCGCTCTCAAAACTCTCCTATTCATTGATTATCGTCAAGTTTTGCTACTTGTATCTTAATTTGTTTGAACAGCGTGAAGCGCTGTGAAAAACTGTTTAACTTGTGTAAGAGCGCTATAAAATGTTTATTTGTTATTTTTATTTTTTTATAATTAAAAAAAAAAATTATTATCATTATTGGTAATATGATTATCATAATGTTTGTTATTATAATTATTGTTATTATCATAATTATTATTAATATTATAACTATCGTTGTATAAAAAGAGAGAAAACGTATATTTCCGGTATATTTATAAAATCATGACATATTCTTCACCCCATCTCAAATATCGATAAAACCTCAATGTCCTTACTGGATTTAAAAAAAAAAAGTGGTTTTATTTTTAATAATTGTCAGACATTTTTTCGGAACAGTGCCCCCCCCCCCCCTCTTTTTTAATTTGTTTTCTTCAGAATCAAGGATGTGCCCCTGGATCACTAGTTCAAGAATTGACGAGGGCGATATGGATACGTTGCGGGTTATTGAATTGACCTTCCTCCTCAATGTTGAAATCTGTGCTGAGTTCATAGTCATCCATCACAAGAATAAGTTTCTCGCCCGACTCAAGCCAATAGAGAACGCCATTACCATCCATGCTAACGTCTCGGAGTTCGTATTCTCTGATAAGTACGACGGCGCTACTTGACCCGATGTCCAAATACAGAGCTTGTTTCGAATTTTCATCGCAGAAGAATAGTCGGGTACCTTAAAGTGGAAATTCAAAGAAAATCACGAATATGTCAACTAATGTATCACTAGAAACTGGTAAGCTAACAGATGTCCATCGTACAAGTTTTAGGTCAACTACATATCGGGTGATTTAGAAAAAATACAAATACAACCACCTCCATAGCATCTGGGATATACGAGAGATTCGCCGGGAAAATAACGATGTTTTAATGACGTCACTATATGGACCAACACTGCCCAAGCAGTTTAGTTTATATAAATGTGATGGCATTTCAAACCATTCAAAAGGGGATATGAAACCGATTCACATTACTAAAATACTTTGTTTTTAAATACACAGGATAGCTAGGGTTAATTAACAATCAAGGAAACCAGACCTTCAAATTGAAAAATCCCCGGAATGATATTAAGGACGGCATTTGTTCCCTCTTGAAATGCCGAACATACCGCGGTGTGGGGTGTGACCGGCTGAATATACAATGGCGTCTTATTTTGTTTACAGGCGCAGATTCCTATATTTTTCCATCGCTGCATTTGTCATGCGCGGGGTTTAAAGTGAGGCAATAGATTATACATTTTATCTGACGATAGTGAAGTAAGCTAAAGAACTCAAGAGAAGATGAAAAAACAGGCACTGAAAATGTGTGAGATGTCATGGGAAATCGTCTGCTTGTGCAAATAATGTCCATCCTGTGATCTCGCACATCTCAGTAGCGTTCGGAGAGCTCTTTAGGTGCTAATCAAGGGGCTGTATTTAAGCGTTTTGTAATTTATAATAATCATTACTTTGACTGTTTTCAAGCATTGGATTTTGATAACCTTGTCGAATCAAAGTTTCAACTTTGCAATAATGAAAATAAAGTTAGTTTTCAATTTCAATGAATATCTACTTTAAGAAAGTTATTCAAAAAAGTTGGGGTCAGATACGAGCCAAGCTTTACCTGCTCATCATGCAATGTTTACTTTAATTGAAGTACCCCCCCCCCCCCGTCTTTAAAATACAATGGAGGTCAAGGTGTTCCTCTCCACATGGACACGAATTAATAAATAAATAAATAAATAAACTAATTAATGTGTGTATGTATGTATATTGTAATGTATGCATGTATATGTAGGTAAGAATAAACAGATACAAGAATAAATTAATGGGACCTGAAGGGGGGAATGACTGAACTGTTCCGAATAATATCCTAATCTGCCAGGGGAAATCGAAATGTTAAGTTTTATCTTAAACATTGTCTGTTGCTGGTCATTTATTTGAAAGACTTTGTAGGAGTATATGCGTATACAGAGAGAGAGAGAAGAGAGGGAGAGAGAAGAGAGAGAGAGAGAGAGGGAGAGAGAGAGAGAGGAAGAGAGAGAGAGAGAGAGGGGGGGGGTAGAATGAAATGGGAACAAGTCGGGTTGTCGAGTTACTCCAAAGCCAAAATTCCCAATTTGAACCTCGACCGAAAATTGACTACACTAATCCTCAACGATAATCCTGACCTGAAACCCAACAATAATCCTGATCCTATCTTTCGACAAAATGAAAGCTCAAAGCAATAAAGGTTGCACGGTGTGGCGGATAGGGGTTGGGGACTCGACTGAAATTCGGTTGGGAAATTCGATATTTCCTTATGTTTTGTTTTTTAACAATCGCCGCTCAGACCATAAACGAACAGGCTTTCAAACCAAAATATCAATGGGCTTCTGAGACCTGGGGGCGTTTCATGAAACAATTAGTCGGTGGTTTTCACCGACTAATAACATGTTCACCGACAATTTAGTCAGCGCTGACTAAATTTGACCAATCACAGGCCTGGCAAATAGTCGGTGACAAAAGAATTCGGTGAACATGATATAAGTCGATGAAAACCACCGACTCATTTTATCATGAAATGACCCCCCCCCCCCCCCCCCAGATGGTATATCCCCATACTCCACACGGCCAGTCCGCCACTAGTCGCAGGAGCAACGGAAATAGGGACTTTTAGATTTGCGTGGACCGATACGTGTGACGTCCATTCAAGGCAGTGCATTAAAAGGACGTCGATCGTAGCATATTGTCTTCGTGCGAATCTAAAAGTCCCTACTATCTTGCGTTTGCATTACCATCGATTGTGCAGCCTTGACCATTACTTTCAAGTGGATTTGGTGCCTTACAAATCATATGTATTACGTCATACTATCATTAATTATACTGGAAATGTTAAAATTCTTTAATTTGTTATTACCATCAGGGTTTATAGTGAGTCCATTCATCTTGGAGAACATTTGCAGTTGAATGACCTCCTCAATGCCACCTTCCTTATCGGTTCCGTTTAATAGTTTCCGATCTATTCCTTCGTGACGACTCCAGTAAAGATACCTATGAAATTTAATAATAAAGATAATGGTATTAATATTATCATTATTATTTTTCTTAGTAGTAGTAGAAGTAATTTAATTATGATGATAATTATAATGATATAACTGTTTCTTCACCAATACTAATATTGTTTACAAACTCATATAATATTGCAAGTGAGTGAGGCGAGCGAGCAAAATAAAATTGAAACTGTAATTCTCATAAATAGTCAATGCAGATATTTTCATTTTCATTTCAAAGACTTTATTTTCTGCAATCAAACAAATCAGTTATACAACAAATATGGATAATTATATAAAACATAAGGTATGCAAACAATATACAAAATATAGAAACAAATGTATAATACATGAGTAAGAGTAAACTTATACGTTGGGCCATTGCGTGTATAAAGAAATGCAGATATGAATCCAATTAGGACACAACAGCGAAATAAAACAAAACTATTCATTATCTTTTAATTTCTGTTGCCAATTAGTATAGTAATATATAAAGGGGTGTTTCACAAAGACTAAGATTGACTTTAAAGTGGAAATTTAAAAAAAAATCACAAATATGTCAACTAATGTATCACTAGAAACTGGTAAGCTAAAAGATGGCCATCGTACAAGTTTTAGGTCAATTACATGTAGGGTGATTTAAAAAAATACAATTACAACTACCTCAATAGCATCTGGGGTATACGAGAGATTCGCCAGAAAAATAACAATGTTTTAATGACGTCACAAAATGGACCGATACTACCCAAGCAGACGACATCCCATAAAGAATGAACATAATTGCAAAGCTATTATTTGTCAAATTATAATGAGTTTAGTGTATATAAATGTGATACCATAGGCATTGGCATTCAAAAGGGGATGTGAAACCGATTCTTTTGTTTGTAAATACACAGGATAGGGGTTAAATAACAATCAAAGAAACCAGACTTTCAAATTGAACCCCCCCCCCCCCCGGAATGATATTAAGGACGGCATTTGTTCCCTCTTGAGACGCCGAACATACCGCGTACGTGTGTGCAGCTAAACATACAACGACGTCTTATTTTGATTACAAGCGACAGATTCCTTTATTTTTGTTTCGCTGCATTTGTCATCAAAATAAAACCATGCGCGGGGTTTAGAGTGAAGCAATAGATTATACATTTTGCCTGACGGTAGTGAAGTAAGAGAAAGAACTCAAGAGAAGATGAAAAAACAGGCAGTGAAAATGTGTGAGATGTCATGGAACATGGTCTGCTTGTGCAAATCATGTCCATATCCTGTGATCTCACACATCTCAGCAGCGATCGGAGAGCTTTTATGGTGCTATGCCGGGGCTGTATTTAAGCGTTTTGTAATTTATAATAATCAATCCTTGGAATGTTTCCAAGCATTGAATTTTGATAACCTTGTCGAATCAAAGTTTCAACTTTGCAATACTTAAAATAAAGTTAGTTTTTTAAAATCAATGAATATCTACTTTAAGTTCGACTTAACTATGGCAGGCCATTCATGCCACTAGTTCCTTCAACCATTCCTGGCATTCTCATTCTCAAGGAACGTACAAATCGCGATCACAAATCTACAGAATTTACCTGATTTGATAGTCCATTTTTGAAGAAAAAAATAATATTTAACGATCATAATTGAGAGACCAATGGTGAGAGCAACCAGTGGTATGAATGGCCTGCCATATTTAAGTCCAACTTAAAGTCGATCTTAGTCTTTGTTTTTTTGTTTTTTGTTTGTGTAAAATAACCATTTCAGGTCTTCTTTATTTTTTTCTTCATAATAATATAAACATATTCACATTTTTAGCATTTGCCTCCATTTCTGGAGGGATGTACATGGCTTGCTAATATTTTCTTCTATTGTAAACGATCTTAGTCTTTGTGAAACACCCCCCTGGAACTCATCTTACACGTACCCATTTTGTTCGTCGATAGCCAGAGCATTTGGCTTGTCGAGACCTTCCACAAAACGTTCCTCGGAGTCCGGGTCCCTAAGCATTACACGATTGATCCATCCCTTACTCTCGTAAGCGCAGTAAAGATATCGAGACTGCACCGCGATAACAATTCCAAAGGGTTCTGTTGAAGAAAGAGTTAAGAAAATAGTCATACATATTCATGGCTGTATGGATAAATAGCTAGAGGTTAGAAGATTTGATGATATAAAAGATAGATTTGTAAGCTTATAAAGTTCAAAGAACAAAGGTTAGAAGTTTAAAAGATGATATATTTTTTTTAAAGATTAAAGGTATATTAGAATTTATAGGTTAAGAAGTTGAAAGTTTTACCGAATTGGAAGTTTAGAATTTTAGAGATTGGAAGTTTAGAAAATTAGAAATTAAGAACTTAAAGAATTTATTGTCATCCATTTAAACAAAAACTTTTTCAGTCTCTTTTTTTCCTGTGGGAAGAGATGGCGAGTGCGACTAGTAGTATGGAAGTTTAGAAAATTAGAAACTTCGAATTTAGAAGTCTAGATTTTAAAAAAGTAAAAAAATTGACGAGTTTGTCACTCAACTTTAAAATCTTTTTCTTATGTTAAAAGTTCCCAATTTCCTCAACACAAAGAGAATGGGCATGTGAAAAACATGAAACTAGACGTTTTTAGGCTTAGAATGCAAGAATTAAACAAAATGGAAGATTAGAAGTCTATAAATTTAGAAGTTTAGAAATTTAGAAGATTAGAAGATAAGATATTCAAAAGATTATTATTTCAGAAGATTAGATGTTTAACAACCTGAAAATTGTCAAAAGTGTATATATATATATTTTTTAAAATCCAATTTAATTAAGCTCACCCTCAGCCGTACTGATTACAGTTTCCTTTAAGCCGCCAACCAAATCAGATCGCGAAACCTTTTTCTTTTCCTTGCTCGACCAGTATACTTTTTGCTCTACAGGATCAAAGGCAACATCCGATGGCTTTCCGTCGAGACTCCGTAATACAGAAAACTGCATGCTGTCTGGACCGTGTAAATCGGCCCAAATGATACTTTTGTCTTGTTCATCTGTGACGAAGACTTCAGTTGAAAAGTTAATGAGGAAAAAGAAGTAATTCTAATTTATTTACATAAATTTTGCATCAACATTACGACCTGAATACATTTAACCGATCAATATGTATTGTTAAGTTACAATTTGTCCATATAATCTTTTATCAAAAACACAAATAAATATGTTTCTCAATTTTTTTGAAATAGACTAAATCTTTATTTTTTTTAAAGCGTTGACATTTTTTAAAAAGTTAACTCTAGTACAATTTTTTCAAGACTTATAGTTGTATAACATCAAATACAACTGCATCTTACTTGTCCGAAGCGAATCGAAGATAAAGACCAAAATGGCTCACTCCCTTTAAAATAAAAGCAGTCATGCCGTTAAAAATTGCATTAAACCACTCTCCCTTCGGAAACTCTGGCAGGGGGGGAATTAAAAATGAATAAAAACAAGGGGGTGGGGTAGCAAAATATCGGGGTGGAGACAAACTTTCTGAACAGTCGAGAGTTCTTTCTAGAAATAAATAATGCCACCGAAATATTTTCTAAATTCTCTCGAAACAGCATAAGGATATAAACTTTGTTGCAAATAATTCTTTCATCCGAGATATTTGGGACATTTTTGTTCCGTTTTGTTTGTGTGTTTGTCACTTTTGTTTGTTTGTTTGTTTCAAACTTTTGGGACAGCCTACCTTTGTAGACTCCAGGGGCTACTGTAGTATCTGGTTGAGTAGTTGCTAATGTTGGCGCGGGTTGTGTTGTTGGTGCTTGTGTTTGAAGCAGCGAAGTGGGTGTTTCAGAGAAGTCAACAGTTGTGGGTGGTACATATGATGAAAGTGTTGTTATTGGAGTTGATGGTAAGTCTGTTATAATAGGTATATAATCTGTACTCGAATCAGCCACAGTGCCTGTCGATGTTGCCGAAGAATCCGCTGAGGTTGTTGTCTTCGACAGTGTTTGCAATGGTTCGGCAACCTTTGTCGTATCCTTCGATGTAATTGACAGAGAAATCGGTGTAGTTTCAGATGATTTTAATGTCGTTGACTTCCCTATTGTGGACGGGACCGTTATAGTGATTCCTCGTGTCAAGGTATGGGAGATTGTATGTGGTAGTTCAGTACTCAACGAATCTGTTGTCAAATCAGCCACAGTGCCCGTCGGTGTTCCTGAAGATTCAGCTGAGGTTGTTGGTTCAGTGGTCTTCGACAGTGTTCGCAACGGTCCGGCAACTGTTGTAGTATCCTTCGACGTAATTGACAGAGAAGTCGGTGTAGTTTCTAATGCCGTTGACTTCATGTTTGTGAATGGGGCTTTACTAGTGATTCCTTGGGTTAAGGCTTGAGAGATCGTATCTCGTACTTCAGTACTCGACGTATCTTTGCCGTTAACTGTAGATAGACTTCTCATTGATGATTGATCTGTAGGCTCAGTAGTTCCGAGTGAGCTTGAAGTTTCTAGCCTCGTTGTGCTTTCTGCTGATGAGACCCAAGCTGGAGCTGGAGCAGTGGTCGTGGATGTGGGCCGTGTTGTCGTACTGGCAATCTGTGTGGCAGTTGATGTAGCAAACGACGTCAAGGGTTGCCTCGCAGTACTGTTTCCTGGCTCTAAAAGGAATCACAATGAATTTCCCCAAATGAATGATAATCAGAACACAGTAGTAATATTCTTGCATATTGGCATATTGACATAAGGACAAATTTAGGACGACACTGGACGAGGACCAGGTGAATTCCGCCGTTTCCTTTAGAGGGGAACCCTGCACCATGCATCTGTTTCTGTACAGGCCTACGCCTCTGACAGCATGAGACACTAATTTCACAATTACATTTCGCTACCACTTTCTGCATTTTTGTTTTAATCTCTATTTTTTTCTACCCATCCCACCTCCCCCCCCCCTCTCTCTCTCTCTCTCTCTCTCTCTCTCTTCTTTTCCATTATATTCTATTCCATTCTTATATCTTTAACCGTACATCCATTCACACAATTCGCTCTCATTTTCTCTCCCCCGCCCCAAGAATGATGTTATGAACGATCACCAATACTGTCTTTACATGAAAATTGTGATTCTTGGGGGGGGGGGGTGGCTCCAAGTTGTTTACGGCCAGTCTACATGTCTTAGCTCTAGAGTTTGTCCAGCACTGACATAAACTTACCAATATATATTATGTCGTTTCATCTTCCATTTCTTTTTGTAGTTTCTATTATTAAGCACCCCCCCCCCCCCCCCGTCCCTGACAACAAAAGAAGTTGGATATACGTCCGTATACTTACTCGGGATTCGGCATATTTTATGTCCGGACGAAACCCCAAATCCATTCTGCCTTCCGCATTTCATGCCCATGAAAGATGAGACCGGAACCACTACAGCAATGGTTTGGACCAGGTTCCCATTTTGGTCCAACGTTTGGCCACACGGTGGGAACATGGGTATCATCTGCTCAAGACCACTGCCGTGACTGCAAGACGTAGGCGTCCTATCCGAGGGGTTACAGAAGGCTGTTCCAGCTGTAAATGCATGAAATTATGGAGGTAATTTGACTGAATGGGCATTATTAATATGGTAATGAGGTCAGTGATGGCCAATCAAGTAAACATTTTTAAAAATAAATATCGACGTAAAGGCAATTAGCACTTATTATTACTGCACCCGCTCTTAGTGCTCTCATACACCCCGGGCCCCTATCCTACCCCTCTCTGTCTCTCTTTCCAGGCTCTCTCTCTCTCTCTCTCTCTCTCCTCCCTCACTATTTCTCTATGTATGTTGCACTTTCAGCTTTATAAACTGAAATCATAATTAAAAGCTATTTTCTCAACACTCCCTGCAACCTCCTTCAAAGGAGAGGGAGGGGGAGAGAGAGAAACAGTCATTCAATTTTTAAGATTCCAAATTAGAATTTCTCGAGCAATAGTGTTATTGCCAGTTAGGATCCGTGATTTTAAAACGGGTCACCCAGATAACGATCATTTTGGTTGTGTCCAGACATAGATCTTCCCGTCTCATTTCGCTGTCCATAAAGGATCATGGCCCGTATTCAGTTAACTTCTAAAACAATTTATTTTCTTCAATCTAAGTAAAATAAATGTCTAAGAACTTGTCAAGTTTATAATTTTAAAAAAGTAGCATAAGCCGAATTTTAAGTTTGCCTCAGCTATGACGACAGAGAAGACAAAATTCTTAGATCCAATGTCGTCGTTTTCAAAAGCCACCTATCTTGGTGCTCATTGGTATCATCTTACTCTGAAATTAATTTTCTAGCCAATAAAACAAATTCAATGGCATTATGTCAGTTATGTTGTTGAAATTGCAGATCTCAGATGTCGTGTTCTATTGAGGTCGCGCTGTAAAGGGTGATAAGTTTATATATTCAAAAGGCAATAAAGCGATTGAATTACTATCATGGTTATGAGAAATATATTCCAAGATATATTTTACAAAAGTCATGACAGTGCCTCGTTCAAAGATATTTTGATGACGTACATAATAATAATAATAATAATAATAATAATAGTGGGTTCTTGTATAGCGCTCATGCCAGTCAGATTTTATTACATGCACAGTTAGTCTTACGTATCAAAGTGAAAATGAACGTCCAAATGCCACTCTT